TCAGCATCACTGCTGGTATCACGCTGGTGTATTGAGTTTCCTTGGAAGAGAAAGAGGGACAATTACAACCAAGAATATTGGGATTATGTATGTTGCACAACCTGTCTCATGAATGCAGAGACTGGCAGTGAGTATCAACTGAGAGTCTTATTTGTGAGAGTCATTTGCCAAGTCTATCTCAAAGAAAAGGTCTGCTGGGAGGTATGAGGGTATAATACCATGTGCCGTGGTGGATTATTCACATAATGCAGAATGTTAGTATAGAGGAGAGGTACCTAGAAGCTTTTGTTGCAATGAGTAAGTTGTCCCTCTGAAAAGGTAAAAAGGATTGACAATAAGAGATGAGAAGAAGGCTAGATGTTTACTGGTTGTCCTCTTGGCTTTGAGTGTGTTTAGAATGTCCCCTTACCCTAACCTCTGGAAAAAAATTTCTGCTTACAACTGGAAGTTTATTTTGTCAAATCCAAATCTCTTGCAAAGAAATACTGACAGAGCCCAGAAAAAAAACTAGCAGATTGGAGAAGGCCAGGTACTCTGAAGACAGGTGAAAGCAGCAGCATGGGGACTCAGAAATTAAAATGAGAAGTACAGTAAAGTTGAGTTTAAAAAAAATGTAGTTTTCCATCTGGGCAAAGTAATCTGAGACTCCCATCTGGGGACTGGGAAGCTTGGAAAATGAAAACCCTAAGGCCACTGAAAGTGAATATGAAAAGGCAAACTGGAGTAGAGTTGGATAAATAATACAGATGTTTTCAGAGAACATTTCTTCTCCTTGGGGATGCTGTAGGGCTGATGAAGGAACACAAGCCCTGTGAAACTCAGGTCTGACCAAGTGCAACAGGATTTCAGGCTCTATTACATTCAGACTTTCCAAAGGAGATGTTAGAACTTTCTAGGCTAGAAAAAAAATCAAGCTTGGGAGGGAAGCAACTAATTTACACCTGGAGTTCTGAGTTTAGAGAGGGAGGGCTATTTTGGATCTCACTCATGAGTATTGATGACATCCCATTTTATACCACCACCTCTTTGTAAAGTAGAATTTCCTGTGATATTAGCCTGAATCCTGATCTTTGAGCCTCAGTTGATGCCGCTTTTGTGCTGGCATTCTCTGTGAGAGTCAACCAAGAGAATGTCCTTGTAGAGGTGAGAAAAACTCATGGAAGCTCTAGGAAAGCTAAAAAAAACCCCTCAGCTATGGGTCCCTCCCCCATGCCAGGGTTTCTACAGACTGGTGGTTTTCAACTGCTGTGCATTAGAATCAGTTGATTATCTAAAGTAATTGGTGTGGGAAAGAGCCAAGTATAGATAGTCTTTAAGACCACCCCAGGAGATTCTGATGCTTAGCTGGGATTTGGCTAAATCAAAGAATTATCATGCCAGGCTGAGAGAGAGGCATCCCCTTACTGCCTCCCAGGCTGGATTCATAGACTTGGTCAAGGACTGGTGCTTCTGTTTACAAAGAAGAAAACCAGGGCTAAGTGAGAAGGGGAAGCAATTATTTATTCATGCACCTCTCTCATTTCATGAAGGGTTTGGTGAGAACTGGTAAAGGTAATTGGGGTAAGGGAGTAAAGGAAAGCCTTCTTTTATGATGAGACTTGCTCACACTAGTGTGTATGGGTCAGCCATAAATCATGTCACCATAGTGCCCCAATATCTCACACTCCAGCCACACCAGGATCCAAAAGCTCTTAACAGAGACAAGTTTTATAATGCTAATTTATTGACTGACTCAACAGAGACCTCAGATGTGGGACCTAGAAAATGAAACATTTCAGCGTTGTCTAAGGTGCTTGTCAGTGTCTCAGGGTGTTCCCAGGAAGATAGTGTCTGCTAAGTATAGTAGAAAGGGCAAGATATAGGAGATAGATATGAGTCTTGAATCCTAAAGGTTGATGTTTTGGAAATAACATTCAAATATTTGTGATAATTAACAAGTGTGCAACTGAAAGGGTCTTTGTCCACTAGTTTTGATAGAGAGTTAAGTTGCTAACACAGCAATGTATATACTAGTAGTTTATTTTTTAATTTTTAAATGTTATTCTTGGAGGATAATACTTGAGGAGGTTAGAAAATTCATAAGAGGCCATGGTAAAGAGCTCATATTAACTTAACTAATGGTGGTATGCTCATTTTTTCCTAGATCTTTGATAGTTAAAACACCAAAGACTCTTCTTAACCCTCCTAAATGAAAGCAACTACTCTGGGCTTCTCTTTGCTGATTGCCAAAGTCTACTTCCTGGAGACATTGAGGAATGAATAGCTTACATCAATTATAAGGTTACCCAGATGAAAAAAAATATGATACCCACATGCAAGACTGAGACTCACATTATACTAAGCCAAACAATGATGGTAGTTGCTACTGGATACTTAGAGACACCCTCTCCATGTTGAAATGGATTTTGAGATGCAAAAACTCATGGACCTAGCATTCCTCTTAAATAATATTCATCTTTTGGCAGGGGCTCAGTCTAAATTGTGTGACTTTCTCCATTCTTTCTCTCTCTCTTCCCCTTCACAATAATAAAATCTCAAAAATGATATGTGTGATAGTAGAATGAAGAGAGGGTAGTCTTCATGGAGAAAGAGTTGTATCAGCCAATTTCTTTTTTTACATTTAGTATTATTTTTCTTTTTAAAAAGATTTTATGTATTTATTTATTTTAGAGAAGGGAAGGGAGGGAGAAAGAGGGAGAGAAACATCAATGCGTGGTTGCCTCTGACATGCCTCCTACTGGGGACCTGGCCCACAACCCAGGCATGTGCCCTAAACTGGGAACTGAACTGGTGATCCTTTGATTCATAGGCCAGCACTCAACCACTGAGCCACACCAGCCAGGGCCACATTTAGTTTTACTTTTATTAGATTCAGATTTACAGTATAGTGGTTAGACAATCATACACTTTATAAAGTGTTTCCCTTGATATTTCCAGTATCCAACTGGCACCATACAGAGTTATTACAATATTATTAACTATAATCCTTATGCTGTACTTCATATCCTCATGACTATTGTGTACTTCTTAATCTCTTCACCTTTTTTATAGAGCTCCCTAACCACACTCCCCTCTGGCAGTCATCAGTCTGTTCTCTATCAGTCTGTTCTCTATCAGTCTGTTTCTGTTTTGTTTGTTATTTATATTGTTCTTTAGATTTCACATATAAGTAAAATCATATCGTATTTTTCTTTATTTGACTGACTTATTTTACTTAGCATCATACCCTCTAGGTTCATCCACGCTGCCACAAGTGGTAAGGTTTTATTCTTTCTGTGAACAAATAATATTTCATTGTATATATGCACCACAGCTTTTTTATTTTCTTGCCTATTGTTGGGCCCTTGGGTGTTTTTATATCTTGGCTGTTGTAAGTAATGCTGCAATGAACCCTAGGGTGTAGATGTTATTTCAAATTAGTGATTTGGGTTTCCTTGGATATATACCCAGAAGTGAAATTGCTAGGTCATATCAGCCAAGTCTTCATAGATGCATAGGAGTGAGCAAGATGAGACATAAAAGGCAGAGGGACCAGCAAGAAAAAACACAAGGAGAATAAAAGAATATTGAGTTATCTATATTGATGAGCCCTGTTTTCATCTGACTACAGGGAAGATGCCTGGTGGCCTGGCCTGCTGTGCTCATATGGACTTTCAACTAGTCCTTCATCCTACTCCCAAATCTTGATATATTTGCTCTCGTCAAGTCTGGAGCATTTTCAGTTCCCAAAGTTCAAAATGTCTCTTTCCTCTGCTGCTTTCTCCACCATTGAAGCTCTGGGATGACAGTTCCTCTGCTCAGTTACATCAATTACCCTTTTCCTATTGCTTTCCAGCTGTTGGAAGCTTTTGGAAATCAGTCTTTCACTGATGGCCTCTCTTGTTCTCATCATTGGGGTTTCTACTTTTCTCCCTTTTTTGCTTTCATTTTAGTGGGCTCTTTGAAGAGGGGATAATAATGGAATGTGGATACTTTTCCACTTAAAAAAAAGATTCAGATATATGTTGTGGTTCTTTAATATTTTCTGTAAGAAAAAAACTCTTGCTTTAGGAGTGCTTTCTAATAGTACAAAATGCATACATTTCACCAAAATCTTGTACATGCATTTCCCTACATGCTGGTCTGTAGTTAATTCATATTTATTATTAATAACATTCTACTTTCAAAATATCCATGTAAAATTTAAAAAATATACAACTCTACACATGATCAAAATAGCCAAGGTTAACACAAGGTTAACCTCCCTTTTGAGTTCATTATTTCCTAAATTCCTCAGAGAACTTTTCATGAGTCCACGCACTGATTCTGTTCCTTTCATTGTGAGTTCTACTCAAAGCCCATTATGGTTCTTGAATTTCTATGACGTCAGTCACTTGTGTCCATTGGTGGGCTGTTGTAAAGATGATGATGAAGAATAAAATCCTAAAAAAAGAAGGAAACAGGACAGAGCCCTGAACCTAGTTAAGCACTTGGTAGATTTTTATTAATTATATATTTCATTATTTCTTATACTTTTCAAACAATTTTCTACAATTTTTTCCATGAATTGAGCCCAAGTTTGTCCACTTTAGAAACTGACAACTTTTAGTGGGTATTTTCAACATATCTTGACCTCTCTTTTTTGCTGTGAACATCTCATTATCTACCCAAGGTATTATATAATTACCAGATTAGATGTTTGTCATTAGGAAAAAGGGAAGGCCAGGATATATTAAGTATTTTGCCTAATGGTCAATAACCATTCCTGACCAAGAGAAAAGCAGGTCTTTTCATTGTTTCTCCCTCCCTCCTTGAGATAATAGGAAATCAATTGACCTACAGTAATGTAGATGTGGAGTATCTACCTCCTTTCCACAGAGTACTTGTCAAATTCACCTTTTAAATCCTGCAGATTTATAACTTCACATACATTTAGTTTCAGCAACATTTAATTATTTTTCGCAGTTATGGCTATGAGAGTGGCTCAGGCAACTCTCTTTCCTCCCCTTCACCTGTAACAGAAATCAACCCCTAAGAAATACTCGAGGTTTAGCGCGGATGTGGCAGAGGCCATCGCCTTCTTTGACTCCATCATTGCAGAGCTGGACACAGAGAAACAACCATGGGCTGCTGAAGCAGACCCCATGAATGAGGATGTGGACTTTGATGGTGAGTGCTACTCCTGGGGGCAGAAGGTGTGTGGGTTGTCATCTCTGGAGTGGATTTATATGATGGGCTATCAAGAATCCCACCTCCTAATTACAGGGAAACTCACACCTGCAAGCGAGAGCCTGGCCCTGAGCTTGCTCTTCTCTTGGTGGTTCCTTAGTTTAGTTGTCTCTGTTGCTGCTGCTTCAATTTGCCCCTTTAACACATAAGGCCATATTTGGGCAAAAACTCCTTCCCTGTGGTCCATTGCCACAGATAAGACAGGGTGAAACTTTTGTAAGACTCTATGAGGCAAAGCAACAGAAAAATGATTAAACTAATGCATTAGACAGGGAATTGTTGCTAAATAGATATAGAGATAGTTTCAGTTTTGCAAGATGAAATGTTCTGGAGATCTGTCACTTAACAAAGCAAATATACTCAACACTACTAAACAATACACTAAAGCATGGTTAAGGTAGTAAATTTTGTTATCTGTATTTTACTATAATTTTTTAAAAAGAAAACAGAACAAACTAAATTTTAAAATTTATCTTCTTACCCTACCTGAGCTAGGTTGGCTCTAGGGCAGTACCAGCTGTTGGACACAGCTCTGACCCTGCACCTACTTTTTCATCCCTCTATACCCCTCCCTCCAGCCCTCCCTCGGTTTCCTAAGTCATTACTCTGAAAGGATATGTAAGGCAGGAGAGGGTCAGGGTGCTTCCCTAGGCCCAGCATGGATAGCTGGAGTGATGTGAGTGTTGAGAGCAATACTTTTCTCCTTGTCTAGGTATGTCATGGCTCTGGTGCAGAGCAAAGAATTCAACATGTTCATAAGTTGAGTCCACTTTTAAATTCCATTACTCAAATGTCAGGTTTTTAAATCTTTGACTTGCCCCCCACCCATGGTATAATTAATGACAATTTTATTCAGGGATTACTGAAGTAAAAACTTTTGGTAACAATATTAAATAGTTTTTTAGTGTTTTATCTAATGATGAAAATGTTATATGCTTGTTGTTTGTTGTAGTTCTGGCCTTGACTGCCCTTAATCTGTGAGATTTCAGATCTCACTGGGTTCTGCAGAATTTCACAGGCTACTGCTCCCACAAGCTCATTATACCCTGTAGGGAGGCTGTCTCCCCTCCCCTTCCCTCCCACCAAGTCCCTTCAGTACCCGACAAAACACCTCTTTCCCCAGGAGCAGAGCCTTGGAATCCAGAGCATTGGTGAAAAGATAACAAAACGCACTGAGAATGCATGTCATCTTCATAGTTATAATTTTTGATAATGACTTTATGGTTTTTCTCTGATAACAACAGTAACATACATCCACTGTAAATCAATTGAACCAAATGACACACAAAAATATACAGAAGAAAGTAAAGAATGTGGTCTGTGACCTTTAACAGGAAGCTAAACAATGAAACAAACAAGCAAGCAAAATAAAAACAAAGACACTGAAATAGAGAACAAGGGGACAGTGACCAGAGGGGAGAGGGGAGGGAATTTCAGGGGAAAAAGGGAAAGGATTTACAGGAACTAGTATAAAGAACACATGAACAACCACTAAGGAGGGTGGAAATGGGAGGGTGGTGAGGAACACTGGTGGGGGTGGGCTGGGATGGGGGTAAAAAAAGAGAAAACTGTACTTGAACAATAATTAAATCAATTTTTAAAAATCAAATAAAAGAATGTGATCTGTAACACTACCACACAGAGACAGTAATCACTATTAACATTTTGGTGTTTGTCCTTTTAAAAGGTTTTAAACACAAATACCCAAACCCATTGTATTTTTTAAAAACAAAAACAGGTATTTGTCCCTTACCACCTGGCTCATTTCACTTAATATAATGCTTTCCAGTTCCATCCATGCTGTCACACATGGAAAAAACCAAGGGGGATGGAAGCAGGGGAGGGAGGTAAGAATAGCTGGGGTCAAGAGAGTGGTGGGGTGTAAATGTAGACAACTGTACTTGAACAACAATAAAATAATTAAAAATAAAGCTCCATTGTTTTATAACAAAAAAGAATATCTTTTTTGTGTTGTTATCTGCTATTTTTACCTTAGGCATCTTTCCAAGTTTGTACATATAGACATATGTTTTTATTTTTAATTGACACACAATTTTCAATTGTATTCCTACACCATAAATGCAAAGTTGAATCAGCTACTTTGATTCTCCAGTCCTTTCTAGGAATTTGCTGCTGTATATATGCATTTGTTGTAGGTTCTCAGTTCTGTTCACTCTCTCCATAGCATTCTGCTCCTCCTAATGGTCAGTACTCCTTTCTGGGGACCCTGTTTCTCTCTTTCAGTGGCCACCAGCTCCCAGGAGCACAGCTTGCACTCCAATTGGATCCTGCGGGTGCCACGCCAGCACTCTGAGGATTTGGCTGTGCACTGCATACACGTGACAGATGGCCAGTTTCGAAGAAGCATGGAGTGCAGAACCATTGGCACTCAGAGGAGACTTGAGAGGCACCCCATTTACTTGCCCAAGGCTGTGGAAGGAGCATTCAACACCTTGAAGTTTAAGCCCAAAGCCTGCAAAAATGAGTAAGTGCTTGGGCTACATAGTATAACCAAGATGTACTCAAATCCTCCAGACTCTTGGGATGTTCTTTAAGATGGCTTGAGCCTACACACCAAAAATTATTCTTGTGTATTTTGGGGGATGAAGGTCTTAGTTTTAAAAAACTTTTTTCATATTATATATACTAGCCTGGTTCATTGCTGTCACCACTCCTAACTATTGCTTCCACTCTGTATCTGCCCCCTTTTCTTCTGGCCCAGTTAGTCCTCATGCTTTGTGTCATCTTCTTTCCTTATTCCCCCTAAGTGCCACAGACACACTGTGTATGATAAATTTTTAATGAGAGTTCATGGTTTAAGAGTGCATAGCACCAAGTGGGAACCAACATCAAAGCAATTAAATGCCCATGCCTTAAAAAGACTTTGGCCAGGCTCAGGTGAGGAACTTCTTGCTGGCTGGACACCTCTTGCCATCTTTCCACCATTTTTTGTCTCTCTCCATATCCTTCTCTCACAAGATTAGTGACCAACTCTAACCCAAAATTCCTATAACCTGTTCATTCAGAACAGTAAGTGCTCTCTTGTTATGGCCAACTCAGGTCATAACTGGGGGAACATCCCTGTTTTTACAAAAGCCATTCAATTCTGATGGATTCATGAGTTTTCTAAATAGCATTTTCCTTCCACAACAATGAACCAGGATCCAGCCTTCATCACCCTTTTCTCCTTCAAGCTCAGCTTGAGGTTCAGCTAAGGTCCTTCCACAGTCCCTATGATAACACTTCTTTGTCTTCTACAATGCCCGGCACTGGTCCCCACTGGATGGTAAATCAGAGCACCCCTTCTCTGAGCCAAACTGAACTTACTCTCTCTGCTGCCTCCCTCCCTTCCAGCCTAGGAAGCTCCAGGCAGATCCTCTTCAACTTCTCCAGAGAAGACATGGAATGGGATGCAGAGATCTTTGCACTGGAACGACTGTCATTTCCAGGGGAAGACTACTTTGAGACAGAAAACCCCAAAGGCCAGTGGCTGCTTCGAGAGCGATTCTGGGAGCAGACAATGCCTTGACTCCCTCAGTGATTCAGCTTGGCTCAGGCTGGGGCTCTGAGATGGTGTTTGCCTTCAGTGCAGAATGGGGTGATCGGTAGAGTTAAAAATGGAAACCATAACAAAGGCAAGTCCATGAGCATACTGCTGGTGCTCAGTTAGTGCCAATAATACCCACAGCCTCCTAGAGAACAAACTTTTTGATACTTTGGAAGCTGGGCTTTCCCCACATAGCAGGTAGTAATAGCCTCTCTGGTAGCAGAAGGAATGGAAGGCTTTGAGTGGGAGTTTTCAGGCTCACCCCTTGGCCTTCCCTTGCCTGTTCCCAGCTCTCCATGCATCTGTACAGGTGGCTGCTAGCATCATGCTTTGTACAGAAAATGAACTCACCCAGGAATTTCTGGGCCAAAGTTTTCAAAGACAAAGTTCCTCTCTCTACGGGTCTCTGCATACTGAGGCTACCTTTTTTTTTTGGTGCAGAATTCAGTTCAAGAAGCAGCTCCTTTCACCCTAACATTTTTCAACGTTCTGAAAACTTCTACTGGATTAGGCTATAGATGAAGTCAGTGCCCTGACAGTGGAATAGGACAAGGAATGTGTCAGGCACTGTCTTGGGACCATGCTATTTCCCCCAGACCCTAAACTGAGCTTCACTTCTTATAGACATTTGGCTGGGGAAGGAGAAAGATAAAGTGGTGTTTTTTTTTCCTAATTGTCACCAAGAAAATCCTTATAGATACCCATGCAACCAAGTTATGGACAGATTATGTTTCTCCCTTTCCCCAATTAAAAAAGGCAATCAAAATCTTTAAGTTCTTTTTTTAAAATTTTATTTGTTTCTCCCTTTCCCCAATTAAAAAAAGCAATCAAAATCTTTAAGTTCTTTTTTAAAAATTTTATTTAGTTATACAGTTTTTCAAGTACAGTTTTTTGTCTATTTCTCCCATCCCAGCCCCCCCCACACATGCTCCCCGCCTCCCTCCCATTTCCTCCCCCCCAGTCCTCATCCCTGTGTCCTTCATACTTGTTCCTCCAAATCCCTCCCCTCTTTCCCCCTTAAATTCCCTTCCCTCTCTCCTCTGGTCACTGTCCCCTTGTTCTCTTTAAGTTCTTTTGGACTAGAAAAGATTTTTATGTATCAGTAACTAAATCAAAATTACTTTTTTTTACCTCACCTGAGGACATGCTTATTGATATTTTAGAGAGAGAGGAAGGGAGATTAGGGAGAGAAACATTAATTGGTTGCCTCCTATATGCACCCCGACAGAGAACTGAAGTCACAACCTAGGCATTTCTCACATAGTTTTTGCATGTAATTATGCCTGCCCAAGTTTGAGAATTGATGGTTTGGAGAATACAATGCACTTTGTCCATCTTCACCTGGCTTTTCAGTTTTTTTAAAAAATTTATTTAATTTATTGAGGTGACATTGTTTAATAAAATTATATGTCTCAGGTGTATAATTTCACAATACATAGTCAGTATATTGTATTGTGAGTTCACCATTTAAAGTCAAGTCTCTTTCTACCACCATTTATCCTGCCTTTGCCCTCTTCCTCCTCCCACCTCCGGCCTTTTCCTACGGCAGCACCATACAGTTGTCTGTGTCTATAAGGGTTTGTTTGGCTTAATCCCTTCACCTTTTTCACCCAGTCCCCCAACCCACTTTCTCTCTAACAACTGTCAATCTGTTTTCTCTATTTATGAGTCCGTTTCTATTTTCTTTGTTTATTTCATTTATTAGATTAAACATAGTGAGGTCTGTGTGAAAAGAGTCCAGCCAATGTTAATATAATGAGAGCAGTTTGACACCAATGTAACATGGCAGCCAAAGAGAGTGTTCTGGAATGCACATGCATGAACACTGATGACTTCACTGTAATGTCAGCGGGGGCGTCATTGAGTGAGCAAGTGTACTGAATGGCCATTGCACTGAAAATGGCTGAGCAAGTAAAGCAATAAATCTGCATCAAATTTTGCATTAAGCTTGAGTATTCATCTGCAGAAACTATTTGGATGGTTCAGAAGGCCGTAGCTATGGGCAACTGGTGATTGGCAACTTTATCACAACAATATGCTCCCTCACGCATGATGGCTCGTGCAGTTTGTTTTGCAAAACCTCAAATCAAACAGGTGACTCGGCCCCTGTACAGCACATATTTGGTCCCCTGCAACTTCTGACTTTTCCTAAAACTAAATCGCCTTTGAAGGGAAGAGATTTCAGACCATCAATGAGATTCAGGAAAATATGACAGGGCAGTTGATTGTAATTGGGAGAACTGTGTGAGGTCCCAAGGTGCCTACTTTAATGGGGACTGAGACATCATTGTCCCATGTACAATGTCTCTTGTATCTTGTATGTTCTTTAACAAATGTCTCTATTTTTTTCATATAATATGGCTGAATACCTTCTGGACACACTTTCATATAAGTGAAATCATGTGGTACTTGTCTTCCTCTGACTGGCTTATTTCACTTAGCATAATATTCTCCAGACTCATCCATGTTGTCTCAAATAGTAAGATATTCTTCTTTACATCTGGGTAATATTGCATTGTTTAATGATACTGCAGCATTTTTATCCCCTCATCTAATTATGGGTACTTGGCCTGCTTCCAGATCTTGGTTATTGTAAGTAATGTAACATCTATTTTTAATAACTATTTTGTATATCTTCAGAGATATTCCCAGAAGTGAAATTGCTGGGTTATAAGGCAGTTTAATTTTTACTTTTTTGAGGTAACTCCACACTGTTATCAATTGTGACTGTACCAATCTGCATTCCCACCAACAGGGCAAAAAGGTTTCCTTTTCTCCACATTTCTTGTTTGCCAACACTTGTTATTTGTTAATTTATTGATGATAGCCATTCTGACAGGTGTAAGGTGATATCTCATTGTGGTTTTAATCTGCATTTCTCTGATTACTAATGTTGAGCATATTTTCAGGTCTATTTGCCATCTATACATCCTCTTTATAGAAGTGTCTATTCAGGACCTTGGCCCATTTTTAATCAGATTGTTTGGTTGTGTGTGTGTGTTGAATTTTATGTTGTTTAAAAATTTTGGATATTAATTCTTTATCAAATGTATCATTAGCGAATATGTTCTCCCAGTCAATGGGCTGTCTTTTTATTTTGTTGATGGTTTCCTTTGCTGTGCAAAGCTTTTTAATTTGATGTAGTCCCATTTGTTTATTTTTTCTGTTGTTTACCTTGCCTGAGGAGACATTACAAAAAATATATCACTATGAGAAATATTTGAGATTTTACTGTCTATTTACTTTTAGGATTTTTATACTCTTGAGTCTTATGTAGAATTATTTTTTAATTAATTAATTAATTAATTAATTTTTCAAGTACAGTTTTCTGTCTATTACTCCTATCCCAAGCCACCCCGCCCGGAGCTCCAGACCTTCCTCCCATTTTCACCCCCCCCTTATCTCTTGTCCATGTGTCCTTTATACTTGTTCCTCTAAATCCCTCCCCTATATCCAGTGAAATTCCCTCCCCTCTCCCCTCTGGTTGCTGCCCCCTGTTCTCTATTTCAGTGTCTTTGATTTTATTTTGCTTGTTTATTTGTTTTGTTGTTTAGCTTCCTGTCAAAGGTGAGATCATATGGCATTTGTCTTTCAACACCTGGCTTATTTCACTCAGCATAATGCTTTCCAGTTCCATACATGCTGCTACAAAGGGTAGGAGTTCCTTCTTTCTTTCTGTTGCATAAAATTCCATTGTGTACATGTACCATTATTTTTTGAACCATTCATTTACTGACAGGCACATAGGTTGCTTCCAGCTCTTGGCTATGTAAATTGTACTGCTATGAACATTGGGGCCCATAGGTTCTTTTGGATTGGTGTTTTAGGGTTCTTAGGATATAATCCTAGCAGTGGAATTGCTGGGTCAAGAGGCAGGTCTATTTTTAGTTTTCTGAGAAAATTCTATACTGTTTTCCATAATGGTTGTATCAGTCTGCAATCTCACCAACAGTGTACTAGGGTCCCCTTTTCCCCAAAACCTCTCCAACACTTGTTTGTTGATTTGTTTATGATAACCATTCTGACTGCTGTAAAGTGGTATCTCACTGTGGTTTTAATTTGCATCTCTCTGATGGCTAGAGATATTGAGCATCTTTCCATGTGTCTCTGGATCCTCCATATGTCCTCCTGGAGAAATGTCTGTTCAAGATCCTTGCCCACTTTTTAATTGGGTTGTTTGTCTTCTTAGAGTGGAGTTTTGTAAGTTCTTTGTATATTTGGGAGATTAAACCTTTGTCTGAGGTATCATTGGAAAATATGTTTTCCCATAGAGTTGGTTGTCTTTTTAATTTAATACTGTTTTCCTTAGCCACACAGAAGCTTTTAATTTTGATGAGATCCCATTAGTTTATTCTTTCCTTTATATTCCTTGCTGTAGGGGACAGACATATCTGTGAAAATGTTGCTGCGTGAAATATCTGAGATTTTCTTGCCATTGTTCTCCTCTAGGACATTAATGGTTTCATGGCTTATATTTAAGTCTTTTATCCACCTTGAATTTATTTTCATGTATGGTGTAAGTTACTGCTCAGGTTTCATTTTTTTGCACGTAGCTGTCCAGTTCTCCCAACACCATTTGTTGAAGAGGCTATCTTTACTTCATTTTATGTTACTGCCCCCTTTGTTGAATATTAATTGACTGTAGAGAGTTGGGTTGATTTCTGGGCTCTCTGTTCTGTTCCATTGTTCTATGTGCCTGTTTTTATGCCAGTACCAGGCTGTTTTGATTACAGTGACCTTGTAATACAGTATGATAACAGGTATTGTGATCCCTCCTACTTTGTTTTTCTTTCTCAAAATTGCAGCTGCTATTCGGGGTCATTTATGGTGCCATATAAATTTATGAAGTGTTTGTTCTATGTCTGTGAAATATGCCATTGGTACTTTAATAGGTATTGCATTGAATCTATAAATTGCTTTGGGTAGTATGGACATTGTGATAATGTTAATTATTCCAGTCCATGAACAAGGTATATGTTTCC